TGTATTTATGTCAGAACACAGGAAATGGCCTCCACTTTCAATTTACATGTGGCTCAACACAATCAYGTGCTTTCCCATGGATAAGAACCCACTGCTCCTAACAGAGCTGCCAGCAAGCAGATGTAAAAAAGAACATTGCTGAATATCATGGTTTTRGTTTCCAGAGGAAAAGGCAACGGAAGGTGAGGGGGGAAAAAATGCCTCATAGGGTGCTATAAACAAAAGGATAAATAGCAGGTCTGAAAATTCAGACAAATCATCATCAACCAGGGGCATTCTGAGCAGMGTCTCCACAGAATCATACCTGTGCTTGGGGCCATCAGATGTTTTCATTAGTAACCAGGATTAGATATAAAGTCACTGCTGATRGAATTTGCAGCTGATGAAGATTGGTAGAAGTATAAATAACTGCAGGGTGCATGTAAGGGAGATCACAGGCAAGGTTCAGCTTATTTGGGCAGAACATGTTTTAACAGAGCTGAAGGCAGTGCAGCCCATGCAGGGAGGCAGAATTCATCTTCTGTTCATCTTTCAAACTGTTATGAAATTTCACACATGGGAAAGGGGCATCTTTCCTGCAGCCAGGGAATGTGAGGGATGTCTGTATGGGACAGGTCATGGTGGGTGAGTAATTCAGCCTGAGCTCTGTGCCTTGCTGAGACTCTCAGCATTCCTAATTCCTCCAGAGCATATAGAGATCCCTGAATGGAGAGGGATGATTGCTGTGATGGCAGGAGGAGTGTCCCAGCAGAGGTGGCTGACCTTGGTCTCAGAGGTACCTTCAGGAGCAGTGSTCTGTTGTATAAATCCTGTTATATCCTGGACAAAAACTGGGAAATGAGAATTAAGAGGCGCAAGTCAAAGAAGTCACGCCTTCACAGAAATACATGTGAAAGCATTTTAATTAAAATCTTGACTACTCTCAGTGAACTAGGAACATGATGTAAACATGACATGTTGAATTCCTAAATGGGTGAGTATGAATGATGTTTCTTAGAAAATAGAGAYGACCCAGTGTACAAAGAATTAAAGTCTTTTGTGTAGGTGATACTGAGGAGCTGAGCCTGTTTGGAACGTTTGCCTGCAATCCAGAGACTAAATTTTCAGCAAAGATCTTGGAGCAGAGGCAGGAACCTCTGTCTGACCATGAGATCAGGGCAGCAGGTCTGCACTTAGAGCTGAACATTAATCTATATCTAGATAAGGCAAGCAAGCCTACCCAYCTCATTGGTTACCCCACTCTGCATGATCATGCAAGACCCTGATCAATTCCATGTTTTGACACATCCAACTTCTGAATTCTCTCAATATCTTTTTCCATTACTGACTTTACTCAGCTAAACTCACTTGAGGGCACAACCCTTACCAACACAGAAGAAAAGTGCTCCTACTCCTATGGCTATTAGATGCATCTAAATCTATAGATCTATAACGTGTTTTTATAAGTGCTGTATGAACACTGTAAATACTGCWCTTCAGGGCTTTTAATGTTGAAAGTCATGGTTCTTCCTTGTATGAATATTACCCCCTCAACAGAATATTATTGCAGCCCTAAACCTGGGTGCACAATTCAGTGTGAGTGAAATAGTAATTCTACATACATCCCAGTTTGCTTTCTATCAAGGATGAAAAAAAAAAAAAAAAAAAAAAAAAAAAAAAAAAAAAAAAAAAAAAAAAAAAAAAAAAAAAAAAAAAAAAAAAAAAAAAAAAAAAAAAAAAAAAAAAAAAAAAAAAAAAAAAAAAAAAAAAAAGTATATTTAAAAAAGGATAAATCTCAGAAAAGTGCCAGACAAAGGCAGCAGAATAAAACCCCAAGAGTGAGAGACCTTTCAGACTCAAACGGACAAGGAGAAGATGGAAATGTAATTTGACTACTGGGGAAATATTTGTGTGGAGAGAAGAACCCATTGAGAAGAGGGTTCTTTCATCAGGCACAGAGGGACCAGTGTGATTTAGAGTGAGGAAGAACAAACTGCTAGGGAAAGCAGCCTGCTCTCTATTTCACCCTTCCTTTAAATCAAGGCTGGGTCTCTCTCTGGAAGAGAATTTTCACAGGACATYAATTACTGGAATCAGTCTCGGGAACAGTTGAGTGAAACCTAATAACCTGTGACATAGGTGCTCTAAGCAAGATGATCCTTTGGCCCTAAARTCCCCACATCTTGGGGATAACAAGAGCAGAGCCCTACACAGCAATAGGAACAGAACCAGAGTGTAAACAGGGGAGAGACAGAGCCGTGATATCCAAACTGTCAGGATGAGGAGTGCCTCATCATTCCCTTTTTACACCCAGATGTCAGCTGGATGCTGGGTGGATGTTTTGGGACCACGAGGGTGGCAGAAAGCCTTTGTGCACACAAATATCACAGCATCACCAGGCTTCTTTGATAATCTTTCCCTTCCACACCTGCGGGTCTGGAACCTGCTCTGTCCAAAGAGGAATTGCATTCAGCAAGGCCAAGGGTCTGTGCAGGTGCACTGTGATTCCCTTTCAGCTCAGCAGGTATCTTGCTGTGTTTTGCCAGTCAGGATAGAGCATTTTAGGACTGGAAGAAGCTATTTCACCAATCCTTCTCCCAGCTCGTGGTTTACTGCAAATATTGATGGTTTACAACACGGATGTTTTACCGCTGAATTTTCTGCTGGGCTGCTGCTTGATTTCAGTAATGAATTCCASCCCGCCTATTTATTTATATATTTAYYTACTTACTTACTTTAAGCAGCAGAGCTGACAAGTCTCACAAGAATTATGTGTCATAGGGAGGTGTCTTAGCTGATTTGAAGAAGCAATTGCAAGGGCAGGAATCCTCAGCATGTGAATTAAATTTTATAGGAGACACACAAAGTACAGTATGTTCTTGTTATGGTGGAGGATTGTACTGAGACACAGAACTGTTACACCAGGGAATGATCAAGTCCCACCCAATCCCTAGAAAAAAAATGTTATTTGTCCCAAAGCAAGGAAATCCTCCCTKGTGTGCAGCTGACTGGGAGTACCACATATTCCTGAAATGAATGGTGCAATCACTAACCACAAGATGCTTTCCCTACACTCCCAAATACATCCAAAAGGCTTTTCTGATCCCAGATCTTCATCTGGAAACCAAAGTTTGAGATGTGACCTATCAAAATTGTCAGTAATCAGAAGAAGGAGACCCCCTGCCAGCATACCAAATAAATTTTTAGAAAAAAAAGCATATTGTTATTTGTCTTGAATTTTGATGAACCTTATATTTTCTGAGTTAATTTCTGATCTGAGAGTGAGTGCTTTGTTGTTACTCATGTTTATTTCTCATTGGAATAACTTTCTTACCTCCTTAGGTATGAAAGGGTTAATGCTCATTTGAATGCTGGATGTGCTGCATGAGTRAAGTCTCATCTAAAATGCTAAATTGTCTTTGTCATTTGGAACCTCTCTGAACTTCATGACTGAAAAGGCAGAAAAAGAAGACAGAATGGGCCAGAGAAGTCTCAAACTCAAGTCGTTTTTTTTTAAATTCTTTGTTACAAAGGATCAAGTATTCCTGCACTAGAGCAATTTTTGGTGAGAGAAAACACTGTTGATATTTTTTCCGAGAGTGTTTGACATTTATCCATGCAAGATGAAGGTCAAACCCTGTGCAGGCAGCATTCCTTCTCCGCCCATCACCACACACTGAACCCCCAGACACATCTGTGCTTCCAGAACCGACTCCTCAGAGCTCAAATTGGAGACCAAACCCAGCTACAACTGAACACTCCATCTCTTCCTGGACAGAGAGTTCTCTGTAACCCAAAACTTACAGCCCTTMGTGTGATTTCCCTGTCAGCACTTTCTCACACACTGAAAGGGGCTGGAATGACCAGCTATGACAGCTCCATCTCGTAAAACATATCATACTGTCTTTCTGGACCCACACTGAATATTCCTGCTTGCACAAGTGAGTGTTTGTCCTGGTTTGCCAGAGCAGGAGCAGAAKCCTCCAGTTTTGTCCTTCTGACATTGACCAATGATAGAGACTCAGCAGATGGTAAAAAAAAATAAATCTTTACCAACCTTGGAGGCACTGATGTGGTACGGTACCAGCTGACACCAGCTGTTGATTACCTAAACCTTGCATTTTTTATTTTCCTAAATGTACATCAGCCGCAGCACTTACTGTCACATAACATTTGCAACTGTCTAATCTCTGTACTCTCCTCCAAATCAGGACTTTATCTCAACAATATAGGACTCTGCAAACACATTAGGATATTTGTGATGATCCTTTAAAATGCAKTCACAGGATAACACAAGGTGTACCTGAGCAAACTCACACAGAAATATCATTCCTGTATACTTGTTTGTGAGAGGTATTTTATTTACTCAGCTAAATCAGGAAAAATAATCACACATTGTAATTTTTTTTCTCTTTAGAAGCTGTATAATATATGCCAAATCAAACATGTAACTTATCCATCTTTAATAGCATTCTTTGTGCCATGTAACTGAACAGCAGCTGCTTTGTCAAGTGACCAAGAAATTAGACTTTGGCAAAACAGGGGTTTTCATCAGCATATGACCTTAAGATAACATTTACATTTCAGGAGATGCTGTTCCAGTCAGAACAGAACTGCAGGGCAAATTCRCATCTCTGAATACTCATGGAGGCATCTGACAGAAAAGCTAATAAACGTGCGAGATTAGTACAGTTTTATTTTCCATAAATCTGGGACATGTTCAGCAATGTCAAACGGGTTCTTGTGCCTTTAAACGAATAAATAAACCCAAGCTTACTCTGAAGCTCAGAAGTGAGGTGGAATTCATTTAGCTCATTACCATTTAAATGATAGATGGACAGGGTAAACTCTTTTCTTTTGAGGCAGGGGATGGACAATGAGGAGAGCAGTGGTATTACATAAATTTGGGCTCCCAGGCTTAGATGATTGGATTCAGATGTTTCCAAGGAAATTATTTGCTCCAAAAGGGCTCTTTGGTTACTAACAGGTATAGCAATCATATTTAAAACGTTTTTACTCACAGTCAGGCTCCTATATCTTCAGTCACATAGGATTTACTGGAGGGTTTATCCTTGGGCTGCTCTGTTGAGCGCAGAGAATTCAGGTGGGTGCTTTCACAGGGTTGGCTGCCAAGACACACAGAGGAAAAAAACAACGTGTTTAGGGGAGAAATATTTTGCTTTTGCCATTTTGGCTATGATTTATTTCCCACTTTTGCAGCAGGTCATTATTTGGCTCTCCTAACTTGAAGGGAAATTTGAAGAGGAGAGAGGTAACAGGTATTTTTTTTCCCCTGTTCATTTATCCATGAGAAAAAGGAGGGACCTGGGCACCTGAGAGTAAGAAGGTAAGATCTTCATACTTAGCCTAGGATGAGTAAGAAATAAACATTTCAGTATTCTCTAAATTAACCCAGTCTTCTGTCAGCCAAGTTCCATTGAAAAGAAGGAATAAGATGATAGGTCATTTTTATTTGCCTTATTCAAAAGAGAAAAAAAGGAACCCCAAAACAATGAAAGAATAGGAGATTTCACATGTCACACCTATGCTGCAAAACAACAAATAAATTGCTTTTTTTTCTGGTTCTCTTATAACCTGGAAGCTTGATGTAAACTCTCCAAAAGTTTCCTGGGCACCCAAAGATCTCCCTGTCCTCAGTTTCCCGGGASCTGACAGCTCCAGTAAGGGTTATGGAAAACTCTTGTGGTGTGTACAGAGCTGTGACAATGCTTTGAGTCAGGATCAGACACCTGAGAAGAAGGATGGAGACRGGAGTTTTGTGGGAATTGGGCAACTCTTATAACTCTCCTTCATAATAATGCTTCTTCCTAACAAAAGASCTCTTTAATAAATGGTCCCACGTGTGGCTTTTCTCAACCCAGTTGGTGTTAGTGGCCTCCTGAGTGGTGACAAACTTTTCATCATCCATGCCTTTTCCAATTTTTCACATCTGAAACCTGATGTTCTGCCTCGACCCTTTTTT